ACCATTATACCCTGATTTCCCATTTTCAATGGGTTCAGGGTATAAAAATATTGAAATGAGTTACCGTTTTTTAGTGATATACTCGATATACGCGCGCTATATACGGACATTTTAAACAAAATTTGAAGTCACTAGGTCTTATATCATCTTAGATCGACGCGTTCATATATGCGGACAGACAGACGGAGAGGGTCAATTCGACTCAGTTTGTCGCCCTGATCAAGAATATATGTGGGGTCTGCCATGCCTTCTTCTGTTGCATACATTTAACATAACCATTATACCCTGATTTCCCATTTTCAATGCATTCAGGGAATAAAAATCGAAATTGTATAAATTGCAAGAGATGCAGTCATTAGTTCAATTTCCAATTTGGGCACCCTTTTTGCACGTTTGTGAAAGTGCGATTGTTGTTTAAAATAAATAAATCTTTTACTCGATAAAGGAATCCAATTTAAGAATACAAATCTTTTTCTCTTGATCATATTTTAATATCTTCATTCAAATATTCAATTTTTTTTAAGACACATTCCAATCACTTCAAAAGTGTTGACAGAATTTTGTGTACATTTAGAGCCAAATGATAAGAGATTCTTCTACAATAGCTTTTTCATATTTATTTCAAAACTTTATCTTAACGTTAATAGGAAAAACATGAACTGTAAGCAATTGAGTTCAATCTGATCTAGATCCACCACAAGCACCGTCGTGATCGTTGTCCAAGGTGTGATCATTGGCGTTTAGGCCATTTATATTGCCATTCACTAGACCGTTTAGGGGCTCACATTGGTTATCCGTGCTAGTGCAGGTGCTTGTGCTGGTGCACTTCTTGTTTCCTTGGAGCTTAAGGGCTGCAAACGAGTGTGATACGCCATTGACCGATTCGTCCTCATCTGAAGATGCATCAGAGAGTTGACGGGGGGACAAGCGGCAACCACGCTCTATATAGTTCTGGAGCCTATCCTCGGCTGCAAGGATTAGACCAAGAAACGGAGGCGACGGCTTCAAAGGCCTTGACAAATATTCCGGATGATACTGGGTAGCCACAAAATACGGATGATTACTCAACTCGATAATCTCCATTCGATTCTGATCAACGTCTGTACCCACGAAGTTCATGCCATAACTCTCCAGTTGCGACACATACTCAGGATTCACTTCGTATCGATGCCTGTGCCGCTCGTCCACCGTCTTAGGATTACCATACAGCTGTCGAATCGTACTCGGCTTGTCGGCAAATACTGTTCTTCGCTTGCCCAGACGCATAGTGCCCCCCATTTGGCCTTTATGATGCTCCGGCATATCGATGACTAACGGATGGGCTGTATCCGGATTTATCTCCGTGCTATTAGCATCTTTAAGGTTTGCTACATTGCGCGCAAACTCTATAACAGCCGCTTGCAGACCTAGACAAATACCCAAAAAGGGTCTCTTATTTTCGCGTGCCCATTGGCAGGCGCGTATTTTTCCCTCCATTCCACGTGCTCCAAAGCCACCAGGCACGAGTATGCCGTTGCTTTCGCACAACTTTTGCCACTCCTTGTGATACTTGGAAGGCTCACGCTGCAGAGTGTCATGTTCCAGCAAGCATGATTCAATAAAGACCAAATTTGCCTTGCGGTTCACTGCCAATGCAGCGTGTTGCACCGCCTTTACTACGGACGCATATGAGTCTGCAAATTTGGTGTATTTTCCCACAATAGCTATGTTGACCTCTCGCCGAATAGTTTCCGTGCGTCGAGCTAGATCCCGCCAATGCTGCAAGCACCTGGAAGTGCAATGGTAAACGCTGTCAAAATTTGACTAAGTATTTGCTACAGCTTATCTCATACTTGGTTCGCTGGCTCATGTCGATGTTCAGCTTAAGCCGCTCATTCAAGAACTCAATTACGCCATTCTGCTCCATCAAGAGGGGCACATGGTATATAGAGCTCAGATCATGTATGCATATGACTTGGTCCGGGTCAACATGACAGAAATTACTAATCTTCTCTTTTACCTCTACCCCGATCGGCTTCTCAGAGCGACAGACAATCAAATCAGGGCTTAGGCCACATCCGCGAAGCTCCCGCACGGAACTCTGTGTGGGCTTTGTCTTAGGCTCCCCAGTGGCTTTAGGCAGCGGCACCAGTGAAACGTGCGCTAAGCAGAAATTCTCGCGTTTTACGCGAAACTGAAACTGCCTGAAGGCCTCGACGAAGGGCATGCCCTCAATGTCGCCAATAGTGCCCCCAAGCTCGACGATGCACACCTGCGGTTTGGAGGAGCCCTTGACAGGCTTTTCCGCGACGCGCGCCACCCACTCTTGTATGGCATTTGTTATGTGTGGGACAACTGTAATAAAAAAAACATTACTGCCACTCCAATTTAAAGCGAGTCTTTTGATTCTTACCCTGCACAGTCTGGCCCAGGTAGTCTCCCTTGCGCTCCTTTTCGATCACCATCTTGTAAATTTTGCCCGTTGTTATGTTATTGTCCCGGTGCAATGTTATATCGAGGAAACGCTCGTAATTACCCAGATCCAAGTCAACCTCAGCTCCATCATCCAGTACGTAGACCTCGCCTGTGTAAAACAATAACAACATATTTTATTTTAGCTTTACATGTAAAATATATGAAATAGCTGAGACTTAGCATTAGCAATGAGGGAAAAACACAACAGAAACCGGGAATCTCCCTAATTCAATTTTATGTGGCTTCCAGTCAGCGCCTGGTGTCAACATACAAACGTAAAGTATGCCTAAGAGCATTACTAGTGTGATTAAAGCTAAAGATCTTTGGAAAATATATTAAAAACAGTAAATATTGTGGATACATGGTTCTTCTTATGTATCCATTGAAAAACATGAATATAGAATCAAAAAGTGAAACAAATGATATTACTCCCATATTTAAATATATCAAATGGATCTGATTCCAAAATTTCAGACAGATTTATGCATTTCCTAGGTTTTTACAGGAATTTTAACGTCGACTTGACCATATCCATACGTCATATATACAATTGGTTCTTTCCTTGTGAGCCACTTACCCTTCTTAAAAGAACCCATTATAGCCGAAGAGTAAGATTTCGATTTGAAAATAAAATTTAAAGGTTTTTATTTGCAAATCTTTGAGCTTACGCTAAATGGCGCGCACCAACACTCGTTTTTGTAGCTAGGTAGGCGCTCAACTAGAAAATAGCATGGCATAGATAACTATGGAATATATTAATCCTTACGAACTAGACATTCAACGCGAATCTTTATGTACAGTCTTTATGTTCATGGATATTGAGAGCGGGCGACTACTTGGACTCTTCAAGGTCTTCCTTGTACAGCTCCTTAAATATGAGCTTCTGTATCTTTGTGCGAATTCGCAGCTTCTGTGCAGCCGTCAGCTGCTTCATGTACGGATGCAAGCTGAGCAAATAGTGATAATCGTCATCATCGGGCACCAACGGAGCGTCCATTGTTGAGGAACCATTGAAATTGCTGTCTTCGGAGAGGCGCGGACGTTTCAATTTAAGTGCTGGAATCAAACCATTGGCGTAAGAGTGTTGAGTGAAGTTCAGGTGCTCGCTAGCCTGGCTAACGGCGCCTCCACCAAAGTCTTCCTTCGATCCAACCGTGTGATGTCCGACGGATAATGTGGGCAGTGGATGGTGTGCCTTGTTGTATAGCGGAGGCGGCGATACTGAGCGCTTTCCGCCCATCGCTCCCGCGTTTCCTGTCGTATTGGAGGTAGTAGTGGCTGGAGCTAGAACTGTGCCTGCCAGCTGCGTCGCCGTCGCCACTCCACTATGCGTGCTGGTCGTCACCACCGGCGGCGGGGAGCAATGGGCAGATACAGATGGTGCTTCCTGATTGGTGAGTGTTGCCATCGCTTTAGTGACTGTTGGAGTCGGAGATCGAGTTGGAGTTGATTTCTTACTCAAGTCCTGCGCTTCCCTTTCCAGCTCCAGCTCCATTAACTGGGCGCGCAGCAATCCCGCCTTTAGAAGTGCGTGCTGATGGGAGGCGACAAACGCCTCCTCTTGCGCTCTGATGACCCCCGTGGCCAGGGGCGTAGTGCTTATTTGAGTTTGTTGATGCGCCGCTGGAGGAGTGGGCAGACCATCCATGCTACCATCGCTGGCCTCGCCAGCACCATCCCCAGTCATGTCGTCTTCATCATAGTCTTCGTCGCTATCCGGCAAACGACGTATCAGCCCGTTGGTGAGGTCTGGCTCGACTACGGTTTTCTCGCAGTCCTCGCTCTGTTGGTTAAAGTAATACGACTGATCCTGTTCGTTTTTGGGCAGACGATGGCGCATGTGGTCCGCTGCAGGTGATATGGATGCAAAAGTCAACGAAAATGCAATTGGGCGTTCGATAGATTCCCGTCGCGCTACTCACTTAAAAAGAGTAAGGCGTAATAGTGCAACCACTTGGACTCGAATGTGGCTGGATCCACCAGAAAGTCTCCGTTGTCCGCGCGTGGAATGCGCTTGTACTCGACTCTGAAGTTGTCCCGCAGTCCCTTCCACTTTGCTTTGAGCACAATCTCTGTAACATGAAGTGGAGAGAATTAACTATATATAATCGCTACTTTCACACGTCTGCCCATAGAAGAAGCTACTCCGAAGGCACAACGTCTCCCCTCCCCTCGTCTTAGTTCTGTGTACATCCTTCCTTCTTCTCTTTCAGTAAGCTAAGCTGTTATCTCGTCTTCGCTTCGCACTTGATTCGCCGCAAAGTTGTGCCTCGAGAATTGCTTCGTCCATGTGGCCCGCGTTGCTCCTCTTGTACTTACTCGGTAACTTGTGTGTGCTGCTCAGCTCGTCCCACATTTGCTCGAGGAAGGCCTTGTTGCAGTGGAAGTTGCGGTTCCATATTGCCGGCCTCTCTTCAATGTCGTGAATGAATTGTTCCACATTTAAAACAATTGTTGATTTTTTTGGCGCCATTTCACGGGACCCTGCTCTCACAGTCTGTATTTTCGTTACACTTAGACACTCGCGTCGATTCTCTATTACCGCCTGTTAACAACGAACGCAATTCCAAATTCAAGAGACAGCACACATACACACACATAAGTAAGGATAAGGGCGGGGAGGGGAGGGCAATGCAAATGCAATTGAATCTTATGTTGCTCACAAGATAACCGATAAATTAACATTTTCGCTATTGTTAATAAGACCACTCTCCACTCCACTTGCTGCTCCCGCAATTGGAGAAGCGATAGTTCAATAACTACGAATATACCCTGAATACAGGATATGACACTCCTGTGTAGAGGAAAGTAACGAAGTATATGCTCTTATATAGTATATGCTCTTATATAGTATATGCTCTTATATATCATATTGGTTTACAATCGATCAAAATTCTCTATAATGAAACTGCATCGATCCCACAACTTAACGAGTCACATGTTCTGAAAATTTCCTTCCTATGACTTCTGCCTACGGACTTTACTTGCTAGCATTATTTTCTCATTAAGATTTCATATGAACAGTTTATATCCTATGAACGAATATTTGCTTTGATTAACTACCTTTCTGTTGTTAATATCCGATTCCGCAGATTCATAGTAACATTAATTAGCACTGTTACTGCTAAGCAAAGATTTCAATTGAAAGCGTGTCAAACAAATGGCAAAAGCTTCATTCAAGAGTATATGTATGTATGTATATACATATGTACATTGTATGCTGACATATATACTTGTGCACTTGTGGGTCTGTGTGTGTGTGTCTGCGTATGTTAATGACACAGCAACACCAACAACGCAGAGCTGGGCAGGCAGCAGAAACGCGAGCTGAGCACAACACAATAACTTCATTAAGATTCCGTGGCCTGCGACGATGCCATTGCTGCAGCCTGTTTCAGTTTCTGCTGCTGCTGCTGCTGCTTCTGCTGCTGCTGCTGCTGCTGTTGCTGTTGCTTTGGCGTGCCAACGAATTTGCAGCTGACGGCTAGCCCCCCTTTTGCCGACCCAGCATGCATGGGCCCCTCACGTCCAGTCATCCTCCTCGTAGGCCTAGCAGCTACAGCTACAACTACAGGAAATGCTGGTCCGTCGCTATCGCGCAGCGAAGCGGGGAGAGAAAGAAGCAAAATCAAATTATAAACATACGCCAGGCTGCGACAGCCATGCAGTGAGCGCCCCTGCACCGTCTTCGCCTCCTCCTCCATATCACACTCCTCGACCCATTCGGCGTTCTCTTCTCTGTCCCATTCAAACAAAACACAAGCTGCCGGCTCTGTGTGAGTGACTCAGACTCAGCCGTAGCCAGTCAGTTAGTCAGTCATGCAAAAATGCTTGCAGCCGCTGCCATCGCAGTTGCCGCCGCCACCGCCACCTCGTGTACGAAGTGCGAAATACTAAAGCAGCGGGTGGGGGGAGGGGTAGGCAGAGAGGGACGCAGTTGGTGAAGCTCCTTCCAGCCAAGCAACTAGCCAGCCAGCCAGCCAGCCAGCCAGCCAGCCAACAAGCAAGCAAAAGCAATTTCTGGCGGCGCGAGTCTGCGGCAAGCTTGCTGCGGGCTGAACTGCTAAAAGGCAGGCCAGACGCCCATCAGGCCAGGGCACCGTCAAGCAGTCAGCAGTGGCGGCAAAAGCAACGGCAACGGCAACGGCAACAACGACGACGACGACGACGACGACGACGGCGACGGCAGCGCAGACAAATAATGCGTCACGTTGCGCAGTCGTTAAATTTTCGTTTTCGTCGTTGCTGTTTTTATGTGCGACAGCAGCTTGTTGTGCACGAGCGGAAGGGCCCGGGAGGAGGGTCTGAGGATATTAGCTTTGGAATGAGCTGCGGCCAGCTGCTGACGCCGTTGTTACTGCTGCTGCCGTTATTGTTGTTGTTGCTGTTGTTGAGCTGAGGTGCTGAGGTGCTGGTGGTGCTAGCTGCTTGCTTGGTTCAGCTTGATGCCAAGAAACTCGCAAGTTTGGCCGACGCCAATAAAGTTATGAGCCCAGCGAGTGACAGACACAGTGAGGCCTCATTCGAATGGCCAAATGACCACAAAAAAAGGAGGTAGCATATAGGACTTGAATTCAACGCACCCAATCAATTGGGTATTCAATATTCAAAAAAGCTTGCCTCATATCTCTTGATCTGTTTTCTACTCTTTTGTATCTCGATTATGTACATATGTATGTATTTCAGGCCTGTTTATCGTGAGATCGCGTTTCCTTAGATCGCATTTCAGAATATGTACATATATGCAATTATATGTATGCATGTATGTATGTGTGCTTGTGTTTGTGCGAACAAACAGTTGATGCACAGGGAGGCGGGTGGGGCAGCTCCAGTTTGAACAGTTGCCGACGACTTTGTTGCTCTACAAAATCAATAAAACACGCACCGTATGAGCGTATATATTCACGTAGGTGCCTCTCCCCCTCCGCCCCTAATGCGTGTGTGCGTGTGTTAATGTTACACACATGCAAAAAAAAAGCGCGCGGGCCACGAAATGCGCGAAATTTGGGTGAGAGGTGGTATTTGGTTGTGGGCGGTGAACGTCGTATTTACAATATTTCGCTTTATGATGACCTCGACCAACAGTGGGACAATCCGACCGGCCGACTGTCTGCTGGCCGCGGCACTCGCAAATCGGCCGTAAGCACAAACTCAATCCGAGCCGAATCAAATCGAATCAAATAGAAACGGACCGAGCCCAACAGAAGCGAGACGGAACGGAACGAGACGAGACGAAACGAAAGAAGGCGAACCAGTGCTGATTGCAGTCAGCTTACAACTGAAATTGAAAATTCAGCAGAGCAAAGTGCGAAGCGCCGCCAGCGCTGCCGCCATAGCCGGCGCAGCGCGAGCGTGGCGACCGCGACAGGCTGCAGTCAGAGCCAAGCAGACAGAGCAGCCATAGCCCAAGCCCGAGCCTAAAAGCAAGCGAGCCAACAAAACGTGCCAACTAACATAGCGGCAGCGCCAGGGCAGCAGAACAGAAACGCAAAAAACGCCAAGCAGGCAGGCAGGCACAGCACAGCAGAGCAGAGCCATAGCTGTAGCTGTAGCTGTAGATATAGCCAGTGCCAGTGCCAGTGCCAAAGCCATGCCACAAGCTTTTGCGACGACGACGATATGCGGAGGACATACATACAAACACTTGTGCATGTGTGAATGTGTGCATGTGTCTGTTTATGTGTGTTTGGACACATACATATATACATATTATGTGTATTGGTGTGTTTTGGGGGGCGCGTACAAATGCTAAAAGCAGCCGTTGCCGTTGCCGTTGCCGTTGCCGTCACCATCACCATCACCATCACCATCGCCTATATCAGCCCCCGTTGCTGGCAGCATGCTGCTGCCTCTGCCGCCGTTACTGCTGCTGCTGCTTTTGGGCATTTATTGCGCCCGGCATTTGCCGGCTAGTCAGGCACGCGCACACATACATGCATACATGTGCTGTCACAATGTGTATGCGTGCGCCTGTGTGTGTGTGTGTGTGTGTGTGTGTGTGTGTGTGTGTGTGTGTGTGTGT